TTAGAATGTGAAGGATGTGTGTTTGTGTTTATTTTCATAGCCATAATGTACACTGAAGATGGTATTTCATTTCATTGTACGAGGTGCAGTGAAAATAAACTAAATTGAACTAAACGAGCTAAACTATAAGGCTGAAAAAGGCTGATTTAGTGTGAGACAGAGAGAAGTGGAAAGAAATTCAACTATTGTCAGGTTGATCATAAAATAAAAACAGTTTGAATGTAGAGACTCCATAATACAGAAGCCATTTCTGAGGAATTAGAAGTAAAACTGGTCTGAAGTTTATCATAGATCCTCTTGCAAATAAATGAAATCTAGCATTTATTTATTTATTAGTTGGGAAGATTCACAAGAACTGCAAAAAAATAGTATTGGACATTACAGGAGGAGAGCTGGGTTAAGAGTCTAGAAGCAGCTTTTCTGAATAACAGATTTTTTTAAAAAATAGCCTTTTAATAGCATTTGCTAGTTGGAAAAATATTGTTTTTTTAAAAAAAGAAAAAAGAAACAAAAATTATCTGAAAAAGATGAGTTAGTTGAGAGGCCCCCATATGACTTGGAAGATGTTTGGTAATCAAAGTCTGAAGCATTCAATTATTTGCCACAACTGTGCAGTTTAGGCAATGGCTCCATAATCAATATAGCTATTATCGTAAGAGATGTGCCTGAAAATCTATTCACGTATTGCTTTGTTTGTCCTGCACGGCTTCCAGATTGTAAGGAAGAACCTAGGAAAAGAAAGCTCTTGGTGCAGGTATGTCTTATTCTAATTAATGTAGCCTGTAATTCAGCGGTGGGATTCCACATTTTGTCCTATCGGTTCTATGAGAGCAACACTCAAAAACCACCCTCTGTGTCAGCGCTATTGAGGTGAGCTGTTTTTTAAGCTCAGCTGAGGCGTGGCCATCCGCTCTGCCGCGCGAATCAGCGGAGCTAAAACACAAGGGAATATAGGACAGGAAAGAGTGGGAGCAGGTCGGCGGGGGATTTGCCAGTTCTGCGAAATACTCAAAATGTCCGCTAGTGGTACGCCAGAACCGGTCCAAACCAGCTGAATACCACCTCTGCTGTAATCGTAGATAGATTTACTTTGCCAGACTTGAGTATCCTTCCCTTCTCTTCCTTTCCCTTCCTTTCCCTCCTCTTCCCCTTCCTTCCCTCTAAATATTTGGAAATGCTCCTATCCGTTAAAAGGCCCGAATTGGGAAGCGTTGCCCCTTAACTCACTTCTGCCTGTGAGTGGTGCCCCTCCGTCTTTGATGCTAAGTGCCCTTTCACAAAGTGGGCTGATGATGGCTCTTGAGACCCCTGGAGGAGGCCCCCTGCTTCACTTCCTATCCCAATGGGCCCTCCAAGTACATCTGAACGGAGCCCTTTCCCGCTGGTATCCGGTAAGATGAGAGGCGTTGGGAGAATCCCCGGGTCAGGCTTACACCAGACGAGCTGAGTGACAATCCCAAGGATTCATAAGCAACGTGGCTCGGTCGAGTAGAGATGATGCAGCTTCGAAAGCATCCAGCTAATGAAAGGCTAGGGAGCACCGTGAATTAGCCAAGGTTCTCCTAGCAAGCTGTTCTCTTTTCTCTGTCCTTTTTAGAAAAAAACATGGACAAATGTTGAAGGCATTCATCCTTCTGGCAGTGCTCCTCTTGGCCCTCTATGGACATTCTAGGCTGTACTGCGTGGTGAGTGAGTGGGGCCTGAGACCTTACTAACTTTTTGCAGGACGAGGAAGAAAAAGCTCTCGTTGTTGAGCCATCTCACCGTTGATGCTACCCAGTCGGATAATGAAACATCCGCAAGCAAGAACCAAGTTCAGAGAACGCCAAAGGACTCCATGGTTCAGTCCTGAGCCACACAGATTTCCTCGTATTCGATATTCTCCTGCAAATATAAATGAAAAAACGTAATTTCCATAGTGTTTCCTAAGTGGCAAGTAAATTGTGTTCTTTCATTTTTTTTTCAACAACTGTAATAATTAATTGATTGATTTTATTTGAATTTATTCCCTAAGCCAAAGGCGAATACTGCCATGGTCTCTCATATCTGCTGCTTCCAGTGTTACCAGCATCAAGCTGACCAAACAAGGAAACTGGAAACTTATCAGCAAGTATTTTCTGTTGTGGTTTTACAGAACTTTTGCCACTTTGGAATGAGTTATATATTGCTTTCCTAATGGAATATGCTATTGGAGCATCTGACTTATAATCATTGAACGTTTGCTATCAACAATGGCGATTATTCAGCTGCAGCCTTAGGTTTGTAGGAATGGGAAGGAAGTAAAGATAGAGAGGAACAGAGGGAGGAAGGGAGAGACAAAGGGAGGAAGGAACGAAAGATGGAAGGAAGAAAAGCACAGGCCAAAGAACAAGCAAGTTCTACTCCAGAATGTCAGACACTGATAGATAATGGTCGATCAAGGATAAACAAAGAATAGACCAAGATTGGATGTGAAAGAGATTGTCACCTGTAATCGTCTAGGGAACACAACTCACTAGGAATAAAGATGTTTAGGAATTAGGGCAATGATATCTGGATGGGTCTAAGAATTGGGTTATGGATCAGAAAATCTATAAATGGCTTCCCTCTGAACACAACAGATACCTTAGATAAACTGTGATCACTTAGCACATTTGTGAAAGGAGCAAGACAGATACGCTCTGCATGGCTGTGGTAAGGATTTTGCAAGATTCTTAGTGAGAAGGACTGAATACCGTATGGAAGAGAATCTGGGTGGACTCCAATAATCAGATCTTGGGCATTCTCTTGGGTGCTGAAGTCCACAAACATCCGTGGCCTGCCCTTGATAGACACGCTCTGTGTTCCTCTGACTCTTGCAGAAGAAGCCTTGTCCAGTAGCAGCTACATTTTGGCAGGATTGTGTGACACTTATTTATTTAACATATGGCATCTACAGAGAACTAGCCAGAAGTAACATCACCAATGATGCTACCTAGTTTGGGGAAATGAAACGTCTGTAAGACAACAGCCAAGCTCTGGAGCACCAAGAACCCCTCATTCCAACCATAAATATTCTCTTTTATTGGTAAAAAAAAGTATTTTATTTTTGTTAAAAGCTGCAACTAAATTCAAGTAAGCTTTGCACTGGTGAAGATGCCATTCCCTGCTAACCAGGGAATTGGAAAATCCAAAAAGGGGCTTTTGACACACTCTGTGTACGCTGTTGTGTTGTAATGCTGCTCAAAAATAAATAAATAAAATCCCACTCTGTTGGATGAAGTATATTTAATTTCATTTTTCTAAATACTTCCCTTTCTCCAAGGTTTGCTCTTGTGACTTGTGGCGGAGGATAATACTTTTTGAGACAATGGGGAATAATTAATCATGAAGAAATACTGCAATATTTTATAAAAGTTTTTGAAATTTCCTTCTGAGAGAAAACCCTACAGGTAGTCCTCAATTTACAATTGTTCATTTAATGACCATTCAAAATTACAATACTGAAAAAGGGACTTATGGCCATTTTTTCACATTGATGAACATTGCTCATGGTCTCATGATCAAAATCTGGATGCTTGAAACTTGCACGTATTTATGTCGGCTGCAGTGCTTAGGATTGTGTGTTTATTCACTTTTTGTATGACTTTTTATTCACTTAACAACTGTGTTACTCACTTAACTGCTTATTCGCTTAGCAATTATGACAAGAAAGGTCATAAAATGGGGCAAAGCTCACTTAACAGCTGTCTCACTTAGCAAATGAAATTTTGGACTCAATCCAACTAAGCCCTGGTTTACTTAATTCTGGTTAGGCTTGATTTAAACCGCCTCCAGGGGTTTTCTGGAGAGCTTTGTCAACTTTGGCCGGTTTGTGGAATTCACATGTGTTGCAATGCGCTTCCTATCTCTAAATTATATTTCAATGCAGATTTCCACAAAAATCAATTTTTTTAAGGGAAGGGAGATAAAAAGAGATGACAATTTTCTTTTATTTGAAAATATTTACAGACCCCTCACATCTCGGACATAAACTGTTTCAACTCCTTCCCTCAAAACAACGCTATAGAGCACTTCACACCAGAACAATTAGGCACAAGGAGAGTTTTTCCCCGAACGCCATCACTCTGCTACACAAATAATCCCCTCAACCCTGTTCAACTATTTACAAAGTCTGCACCACTATCACTGTTAATCTTCTCACCACTCCTTTTCACCCACCCCCTCCCACTTGCGACTGTATGACTAACTTTGTCGCTTGTAGCCTTGCAATCTATATTGACTATTTCCTAGTATGATTAATTGCTTATTGTACCCTATGACTGTTATTAAGTGTTGTACCTTATGATTTTTAACTCTTGACGAATGTATCTTTTATGTATACAGAGTGCATTTACACCAAGACAAATTCCTGGCCAATAAAGTATTTTATTCTATCCTATTTAATTTTCTTGGAGCGGGCAGTGGAAATAAATATCTTTTAGATCCAGGGGTTCTTCTTCTATAGATTAGAGTGGAAACTAATGAAAGAGAGATCCAGATTAGAATTCAGGAGGAATTTCCTGATAGGGACAATATTAATCAGTGTTAACTTTTTGCCTCCAGAAATCGTGGATGTGCCACTACTGCAAGTTTTTAAGAAGAGACTGGACAGCCATTTCTCTGAAATGGTCCAAGTAGGTTTTCCTGCCTGAGCAAGGGGTTGGACTAGAAGGCCTCTAAGATCCCTTCCAATTCTCTTATTCTGTTCTGTCTCTTGCGCTACAGCGCCAATTTCACTCGTTCCTCTCCAGAGGACACCTCCAAACCCCAGCCAGCCCTTCCGACCTGGCCCCGAGCGAAGGATGCCGGGTGGTGTAGTTCATCCACATCTGGAAGCCTTCGCTCGCCTTCTCCACGCGGGGAAGTGCCCGGACTTCAACTCCCGTCGATCCCAGTCCTGCAGCTGCCCAGCTTTTTCTCCAGCTGCGGAGAGAGGCGCAGCCCACAGCCGCCGTGCGCCCAAAGCGAAACCGGCTGGGCGGCGACGTCTCAGTCTTTTTGCTTCCGTGCCGTCGGAGGTGTTGTGAAAGCGGCGCAGCCGAGCAACCATAGTTTGGCGTAGACCCAGCGCCCGAGCCGGCCATGGCGGGAGAGGCCACCAGATGCATCGGGGGCGAAGCGGAGACGTCAGAAAGTGCCTCGGTGCCGCTGGTGGCGCTGAATTACTCGGTGCGGCGCCGGCTGTCTCTCTTCCTCAACCCGCGCGCCCCGGTGGCGGCCGACTGGGCGACGTTGGCGGAGGAGCTGGGCTATGAATACCTGGAGATCAGGCACTTCGAAACCCAGCGGGACCCCACCGTGCACCTGCTGCAAGACTGGCAGGCGCGGAGCCCCGGCGGGGCAACGGTGGGGCGCCTCCTGCATCTGCTGCGCGTCCTGGGCCGCCAAGACATCCTCACCGACCTGGGACCCAGCATTGGTGAGCCCTCCGGCCGGGTAGAACGGGAGAGATCGCTATCCGAGGGACGGGGGGTGCGCCCTGCTTTGGGAAGCCCGCTGTTGGAAAGGGATCGCTGCGGTGAGCGTCCTGAAATGGAAGCTTCCAAGGGTCGCCCTTGGCAGGATCCCAGCTCAGCCAGCTCGTCTTAACGCACGGGCCTGATGGGCACTTGCCCGCCAGCACAGGGCCCCCAAAGTAATCTGTGCATGTTGACCCTTCAATGCACCTTTTATCCTATAAATACAGCAACATATTTATGACATTTTACTGCATTTTTTTTTTAAAAAAATGAATCGGGGTTATTTTATTAAATCACACCAATTTGGTTGGAAGTGCCAATAAAATAAATACATGTTTAATTTCATCGACCATTTTTACATTTTTATTCCTGTGAGTAATTGTTGTAGGGGCCCCAGAACACTGCTTGGCCAGGGCCCCATAATGCTGTTAAGATGGCCCTGGGTGACAATTTGAGTTTGCTTTGTTTTGCAAAATTTGAGCAGTAGGTCACCCCAGCTATATTCTAAACTAGGTTCAATAAAGGCAAAGTGAAGTTGAGGAAAAGTTGAATAGCTTGCCTGCCAGGGAAAAATGTTGGGATAGAGGTGAGTGTGTGTGTGAAATGCTGAGTAAAGCTGCCTTCCCCATCAGATTGAAGGCAATTTCTACAACAGGCAAAAAAGGGAAAAAAAACTTCCTTGTGAGTATTTAATTGTCATTTCCTGCTTACCCATCCCCCCACCACATCCTGTTTTAAGGCTGTGGGCTTACAGTAAGTCAATCCAGTCAATCACTTTTCCCAACTAATGCAATTTGCTAAAACCCCGAAGCTTTCATGAGCATCTGGTATGTTTCTGGTCTCCAGAGCTTAGCGCCACGCTCCCCTGATCCAGATGTGTGAGAACTTCAATTGCCAGAATTCTTAGCCATGGCTAGGCTAGTGTGACCATTCTGCAAGTCCACATCTATTTATTTATTTATTTATTTGATTTGTCAATTTCCTACAAGATAATAGGTATAAGTATAAACATAGTTATGAATACATGGATACATATAAGAAAAATGAAAGAAACTAGGATAGGCACACGTTATTTATTTATTTTGATTTGATTTGATTTGATTTGTCAATCGCTTACAAGATAATAGGTATAAATATAAACATGGGTAAGAATACAGGAAATAGGTACGAATAATTGGGGACAATAGGACAGGGACGATAGGCACGATTGTAAAAGGGTGCAGGAAAACAACATAAATATAAACAAAGGAAAACGTCAGCGCTCCAACCGTCCCTGTCCTATTGTGTTTTTTTTTCTTATATGTATCCATTTCATGTATTCATAACTATGTTTATACTTATATCTGTTATCTTATAACTGCTTGACAAAATAAAATAAATAAATAAATAAAATAAAAATTTGAACGCTCCAGTCCTGATGGCTGACTTCGATGAGAAAATATAGCTGTTCCTTTTAGAATTGTTTCAATTTTTGCATCCCTGTTCTGGATTGCTGAAAACTGTCAGCAAATGCCATCATTTTCAGATAGAAATTATCTCTCTAAAATACAGGTAGTCCACGACTTACAACAATTCGAAGTTACAACGGCACTGGAAAAAGGGACATGACCATTTTTCATACTTACAACCGCTGCAGCAAACCAAATGTAACGGATACAAAATTCAGTTGTTAAGTGAATCACTTTTGTTGTTAAGTTAGTAACATGATGGTTAAGGGAATCTAACTTTCCCATTGAGTTTGCTTGTCAGAAGATTGCAAAAGGAGATCACAAGCTTGCACGGGCACTGCCACCATCATAAATATGACTCAGTTGCCAAGTATCTGAATTTTGATCACACAGTCATGGGGATGCTACAACGGTCGTAAGTTTGAGAACGGCCATGTCACTTTTTTTCTGTGCCATTGTAATTTTGAACAATCACTAAATGAACTGTTGTAAGTTGAGAACTATCTGTATTGTCATCATTATATAGGCAACTGTGTGCAATCACAGCTGCCAATTAAATTATTACTGTAGAAAGTTAGCTCCCACTCCTCTCCTAGAAGAATGAAATATTTTGAGAATTATTTCATTATATTTCCCTGGGTGAGAAATGGAGAAACTCACTCTTGGAAAACAAGCCCCAATTTTCCTTAATAGCCCACAGCAGATGTCAGCACTTAAGAGATAAAGAGAGAGATAGCTCTATTCATAAACAAATGCCCTCAACAAAGGTAGGATTAGCCCTCAGCCACAATAGGAATTGCCCAATGCCCCTTCATTGCATCACCCTCCAAACTTCAACCAAACTTAGCTCAGACAAACACTTACTTTGCCTATAGAGCCAGCTATGACCCCTACATAACCCCTACATGTCCCCATGGGAGTCTGACAACAGCCAATAGAATGCACAGGAACAGGAAGCTCAAATGCAAAGCCCAAGAGGTGGTATAAAAACCCCTCACTCTCAACTCCATGTGTTCAGCTGCACCAGAATCACAAATGTGGTTCTTATTCATCGATAAATCTTTCCAATCAGCCCTCATTTTGTCTTCAGTGCCTTTCTCCCAGAAGGGGAACTGAACCGGATGGATATTTCTTCCAACAGTACTATTCATTCAAATAGTGTTTATTAAATTATTTTCAGATAATATATGTTTGGGGGCCAGTGGACAATCTGAAATTTCATGAAGGGGGCAAACAGAAGAGATTGTGGACCCCTGACTTAGACCCAACAGTCCTTAGAGTACTGGTCTGGGGCAGCAGGGAAGGGAACTGCACTGTGCAAGTGGCGGACTGAAATGCACGCATGCTCATGTTTACGCAACATTTGCGCGAGTGGTGGACTTGCATGCATGCGTGCAAATGCCCACCAGCCCGCTGCTTGCTCAAGTTGAGTTGTATGCATGCGCGCTCCAGCCAGCCACTCATGTGGCCCAATCCCAAATAGGCCAGGGCTGGGTAGTGGACTGTGTTGTGGCCCACCAGCTGCCAGCAGAGCTGGCGGCAGACTCGGACAGTGAGGAGCTTGGGGAGGAACATGTGCTCGTCTTGGAGTCTGTGGAAAGCTCTTGACTAGTGCTCAGAGATGGGGCCAAGGCTGTCCGACAGCTATCAGCTTCTTTGGAGTCAGAGATTAGTGGGGAAGAAGAACAGCTGGAGCCTGTTCCCAGTGTGCGCATGTGCAGAGCTGCCAGGAGAAGGGAACAGCTAAGGAACAAGGGTCAACCCAGGAGTAAGGACACAGGTGGACAGTGAATGGCCCCTCCCAGAGGGAATAAAGAGGAACAAAAGGGGAGTGGGGTTTGCAGGAGACAATTAGTTCCATTCATTAGGGTGAAGATCTGTTCGTGACTTTTTGCCACGTAATTTCTGCTACAGCGTGGCGTTTGGAAGATATCGTCCTGGCAATTCTCCAAGCCTGATAAAGGTCTGTAGTTTTGAAATCTAATGAAAGACTGTTTGCCGGGACTGCTGGAGAGGAATTCACATTATAACTAAATAAAAGGGGTTTTAATCAGGATGAGGATCTCAGCTTCATGATCTTGGGAAGGTCTAGGTCAGAACAGGCTGCAGCCTGAGAGTTGGGGACCCCTGAATAAGAGGAGGCCATGGAAGCTTGTCCCAGTTGGCTATCCCCATCCCCTCTCACTTCCCCGAAGTTATGCATAGTCCTGGTTTCCTAAAGTTGTTCACCTCTCTGCCTTTCCTCTATTTGCAGATGAGAACTGCAAGAGGTATCTCCAGAAGAAGCAACAAGAAGAATCGGAGCGACCGGTTCAAGTCCCTGCAGTGGACAGTAGCTTTCCGAGGACGTCTGAAATGCAGGGCATCACCACTCAGGATGACCCCCTAGGTAAATGGGCTGTCATATCTTGAAATAATTTTAATACGGGTAGTCCTCGACTTACAGCGTTTCCTTTAGTGATCTTTCAAAGTTACAATGGCACTGAAAAAAAAAGGTGACTTATCGCTTATTGACCGTTGAGCCATTCCCATGACCATGTGCTCAAAATTAAGATGCTTTGCAACTGACTCTTGCTTATGACGGTTGCAGAGTCCCAGGGTCACATGATTCCTCTTTTTGCGACCTTCTGACCAGCAAAGTCAATGGGGAAGCCAATGGCAAGAAAAGTTGTAAAATGGGGCAAAACTCACTTAAACAAATGTCTCATTTAAGAGATAGAAACTTTGGGCTCAGTTGTGGTCGTAAGTTGAAGATTATAGGTATTGCAATGTGTTTTAATCATTGCTCTTTTTAAAGTAAGTCTCGCCTTTCCTCTTCTGTCTGATTTTTACAGAAGATAGTCCAGAGATAAATTGGACTAGGGTAGTTCCTAAATTAAATAAATTAAGTGATATATTTTTTTTTACAGCAGGAGTCTTGTGGGAATTGGAGAGAGGGGGCAGTTTGGGGACTTATTCATAGAGTCATAGAATAGCAGAGTTGGAAGGGACCTTGGAGGTCTTCTAGTCCAACCCCCTGCCTAGGCAGGAAACCCTACACCACTTCAGAAAAATGGTTATCCAACATCTTTTTAAAAACTTCCAGTGCTGGAGCATTCACAACTTCTGGAGGCAAGTTGTTCCGCTGGTTAATTGTTTGGTCAGGAAATGTCTCCTTAGTTCTAAGTTGCTTCTCTCCTGGATTAATTTCCACCCATTGCTTCTTGTCCTGCCCTCAGGTGCTTTGGAGAATAGCTTGACTCCCTCTTCTTTGGGGCAGCCCCTGAGATATTGGAACACTGCTGTCATGTCTCCCCTGGTCCTTCTTTTCATCAGAACTAGGCATACCCAGTTCCAGCAACCATTCTTTATATGTTTTAGCCTCCAGTCCCCTAATCATCTTCGTTGCTCTTCTCTGCAATCTTTCTAGAGTCTCAACATCTTTTTTATATCATGGTGAGCAAAACTGGGTAGAGTATTCCAAGTGTGGCCTAACCAAGGCATTATAAAGTGATATTAACACTTCGTGTGATCTTCAGCTGGTCCTAAGAAGGGAAAAACACACAATTCTGCTATCATTTTCTGTAGGGATGAGGGACATTTCTCACATCTACATTTGCAAGCCAGGAAGAAATTCAATAGGAAAAGCTTCAACAGGCTAGTTCATACCGGTAGTCTTTGATTTACAACCACAACTGAGATCAGAATTTCTGTTGATAAGTAAGGCAGCTGTGAACTGTGCCCTATTTTACAACCTTTTTTCCATGGTTGTTAAGCAAATCACTGCAGGTGTTAAGTAAATCATGTGGTCCTTAAGCGAATCTGGCTTCCTCCATTGACTTTGCTTGTCGGAAGCTGGATGGAAAAGTCACAAATGGTGATCGCATAACCCCGAGGATGCACATTGTGAACACAAGCCAAGCAACCAAATTTTGGTCACATGACTGCAGGGAATGCTGCATCGGTTGTAAGTGTGAGGACTGGTTGTAAGTCACATCATTACTGTTGTAACTTTGAACAGTCACTAAATGAATGGTTGTTAAGTTTACAACTACTTGTACATCATAGCAAACAATAATTATGGATCATTTGATGTTGGCTTAGTAGGTACTGAGCCCTGCCAATGATCGTGGTCTGTTTGCAAAGTCGGTTGTGATTTATTTATGGTTCATGGATGGAATCCATCTGTGGTCTAATTATTTGTGCGTGGAGCCATTTATTCTTTATTGATGATTTGTGCATGAACCAACAGTGGATATAGAGAATTATGGCTAGTCTATGGAAGCCCCAAACCGTGGCTTAGCATGACGAACAAGCCAGTTTATGGCATTTCCCTCCAGAAGACTAGTTCATTTATTTATATTTCATATGTCTTAGAGAAGGGCTGTAGCTGGAACTAGATTGCTGGGCACTTCCTTGCAGTACAGTTTTGTCATAAGTAAAGAGACAATCTTGTTTATCTCTGACCTCAGATGTTATTGTTCGTTTCAGAAAAGGATTATATCTGTTTATTCTGGATTAGCTCTGTCGAGGTCTCCTTCCCCTGCCCCTCAGAATTTGAATGGCCAGAGTTGGTTATGGTGTTTTGTATAATTTTTAGAGAGCTGAGGGAAGGCACAGGTAAATCATGATTACCCTAATCCTGGTTTCATGAATAAACCATAGAAAGTTCATACAAACTGGATTTGTACAACACTCTTAAGTCTCCAACAAACAGATTACATTAATTTATTTCTTTATTAGTCTTAAAGTCTTTGTTAGTCCTGCTCAAGGCTTTGCACATAATACTCTCTGTCAGCGTTCCGGCAACCCTCCATTCCACCCATTAACTCCGAGACAGACATCTTCTCAAAGGTTTCTTTTTAATTGGATAGTAACTGGCACAATTGGGGAAACCTGAATCTGAAAGTTCTGGACTTCCTTACAATAAGTAAAAATACAGATCTATCCCCCTGAATCACATCACATGGCCCAAGTTAAGACTTCCTCTCACTTAGGCGCAAAACAACCTGACCTTGAATCAGAAAAAGAATGTTATTATGTCTAACTAGATATACTCCAATGAATTCCACCCCCCCACACCCACTTTCCCAGGCTCAAATGGTTTCCAAAGCTGACACTTTCCTTCTGGTATTCAAAATTTGGACACTTGGCACCTGATTCATATCTCATAGGCCTCAGGATCAGGGGATTATCTTTTGTGGCTACCCGATAAGCAACATTAATGAGGAAACCAGATTCACTTTACCGTGTTACGAACTTAAGAACTGCAGCGATTCACTTAACAACAGTGGCAAGAAAGGCCATAAAGTGGGACAAAACCCAACTGTGCAGCTGCCTTGCTCAGGAACTCAGAAATGTTGGGCTCAGTTGCGGTCATAAGTCGAGGAGCACCTGCGTGTGATTGGCAAGACGTAAGCCGCGGTGCACAAAATTGGCATTGTGATGGCTTAAACCAGCTTAACTGGCGCTCACCCAACTCTCTTCGTTTTCCTTTTTTTTTGCAGGGCGGAGCCCTGAGCTCTTTGACGCCTTCATCTGCTACTGCCAGAATGACATTCCTTTTGTGCAGGAGATGATCCAGGAATTGGAGCAGGCGGAACATAAGTTGAAGCTCTGTGTGTTTGATCGGGATGTCCTGCCGGGCACCTGCGTGTGGTCCATCACCAGCGAGCTGATAGAGAGGAGGTGAGTTCAGGAAGCGCCTCTGGGGGAAAAAAAATAAGCTTTATACAAAGGAGGAGCTGGAATTAAAACACAAACTGGGTTGACTTTAACACAGAGGTGAGGAACTGGAGCCCTTTCGGGCAGAGTGGGCTGCTGGAGGTTTGCAGGTGTTTGGGAGGGACCCTAGCTAAGATTCTGTGCAGGTTGGAGAACCCCCAAGTCCCACTTCTGGCTGGCCCCGCCCACCCCGCCCTTCTCTCCCAATAGTCCCCACGTGGCCCATTTTGGATGCAAGTAAGTGCAGGGCCTGCACGGAGGCTTGGGGAGGGTGAAAAACGGACCTCTTGGAAGTTCAGGAAGGCCGGAAATGGGCCTGTTTCTGGCTTCCAGAGCCCAGGGATGCAGTTTTAGCCCTCCCGAAGACTTGAAGAATAGGAATAGGAACAGGAGAGAATCCTTTATTGACCAAGTGTGATTGGACACACAAGGAATTTGTCTCCAGTGCATAAGCTCTCAGTGTACATACAAGCAACAAGTGGCAAATCACGATCGTAATCATAAAATACAATCATCATAAATCATAAGATACAATACTCAAATGATAGTCATAAGATACTAAACAAAAACAACCAACATAAATCATATATATTTATAATTTCTTTTTTTTTCTTAAAATATAGTGTGTAGCTTTAGAATGTACTAAGCAGAATCCTAATGAAAGTTATGTATTATATTAAGTGTTATAAATTTAGGTGAAAGGTATAAAGGCGTCCAATCAGTAATTACAGGAGAAACTTTGTTTTAATGAGAAAAAATAATAGACAGCTGAAACAGGACAGACAAAGGATATAAGTATAATGATTTAAATTGAGATGAAATAAATAAAATAGAATTAAGAGAGTTAAAAGAGAGGAGGGGAGAAGCAATATAGTAAATGTGAAATGGTAATACGATATGGAATGGTATATAAAAATGAGCATGAATTTGAATTTGTGTCTGTACGAAGAGATGTAACCCGGGATCAAGCGGCTTTCAAAAAAGATGTTTTATGTTTTCATGTTTTGTGTTTTGTTTGTTTATGTTTGTTTTTTAAAAATCAATAAAATTTTTGGGAAAAAACAACAACCACCAACATAAATCATAAGATACAAACACCAAAGTGATAGTCATAAGATGCTAAAGGAATAGATAATAGGAAACATGGGGACAATAATAGTATTGTAGCCCTACTATGTGGTTTGATATCCTTGGGCATAAGATAGTGCTGTGGGAATTAGTTGTTTAGCAGAGTGATGGCATTGGGGGTTGGGGGCAAAACTATCTCTGTCTAACTATCTCTTGTTTTGGCATGCAATGCTGTATAGCAGCATCCAGAGGGAAGAAGTTGAAATAATTTATGTCCAGGATATGAGGAGTCTGTAGATATTTTCTCAGCCCTCTTTCTGGCCCATGCAGTATAAAGGGCCTCAGTGGAATTGTCCTTTCTGCAGTCCTAACTATCCATTGGAAGGGACGGCGTGGCTCAGTGGCCAAGATGCTGAGCTTGTCGATCAGAAAGGTGGGCAGTTCGGCGGTTTGAATCCCTAGCGCCGCGTAACGGGGGGAGCTCCCGTTACTTGTCCCAGCTCCTGCCAACTTAGCAGTTCAAAAGCATGTAAAAAATGCAAGTAGAAAAATAGGGACTCCTTTGGTGGGAAGGGAACAGCGTTCCATGCGCCTTCAAAGGCATTTAGTCATGCCGGCTACATGACCACGGAGATGTCTTCGGACTGCGCTGGCTCTTCGGCTTTGAAATGGAGATGAGCACCAGCCCCTAGAGACAGAAATGACTAGCATGGGTGTGCGAGGGGGACCTTTACCTAACTATCTGTTGATGTCTGTCCTCGTCCTGTTCGGTTGCTGTGCCAAACCAGGCAGGCAAAGAAACTCATCGCCAATATATTCCCGGTTCTGTGTGCAACTACAGGTGTCGGAAGATGGTGGTGGTCATCTCAGATGACTATCTGGACAGTGAGGAGTGTGACTTCCAGACCAAGTTTGCTCTCAGTCTTTCCCCAGGTAAGAATCTGATCCCTGAGGGAACAACGTCCACGGACAGTCAGGCCGTGCGGCCTTGCAGACACTTAAGTGGTCCTTGACTTACGACTGCAGTTCAGCCCCACATTTCCATTTGCTGAGCAGGAGAGTTGTTAAGTGAGTTTTTCCCACTTTACAGCCGTCCTTGCCAGAGTTGCTAAGTGAGTTGCAGCGGTTGTTAAGTTAGTAGAACGGTTGTTCAGTGAACCTGGCTTGCTCCATGGACTTCGCTTGCCAGAAGGTCGCAAAAGGGGAATCACATGACCCCGGGGACACTGCGACCGTCATAAATATGAATCAGTTGCCGAGTGTCTGAATGTTGATCATGTGACCGTGCAATGGTTGTAATTGGGAAAAACAGTCATAAGTCCCTTTTTTCAGCACCATTATAACTTTGAACAGTCACTAAATGAATGGCTGTAAGTCGAGGATTGCTTGTATTGGACTGCTGTGGGATGATCTCAGGTGATCTGCCGGGGGTTCGCAGGGGTTCAGGAGAGCCCCTAGCTAAGCTTCTGTGCAGTTTGGAGAACCCCCCCAAATCCAGCTCCTGGTTGGCCCCGCCCACTCTGCCCCTCCCCTCCCCTCCCAGGAGTCTCTAAGGGGCCCATTTTGGATGCAGGTAAGTGAAGGGCGCATGCGGAGGCTCGGGGAGGGTGAACAATAGCCTCCTGGAAGTTTAGGAAGGCCAGAAACGGGCCCGTTTCCGGCTTCCAGAGAGCCTCCGGAGCCCCGGGAGGCTGTTTTCGCCCTCCAGAGCCCGCGGAGGGCAAAAACACCCCCCCCCACCGTGGTGCAGGAGGCTGACTTGGCCATGCCCACTCAACAACCAGGCAGAGAACCCTTTGCTAACATTTGTGAAGCCCACCCCTGGATGGGCTGTGGTGGCTCCGAACTTCAGTTGGGGAAGAGCGGTGGGCCCCCTGGTGCTTGGGGGCCACAGCTCATGTCCGGTTAGCTCACTCTCCCGTCTCGGCTTCCTTCTGCAGGGGCCCGGCTCAAGCGTCTGATCCCAGTTAGATGCAAAAAAATGAAGAAGGATTTCCCGAGCATCTTAAGGTTCATCACCATCTGTGACTACACAAACCCGGCCACCAAGAAATGGTTCTGGATGCGACTGGCCAAATCTCTGTTGCTCCCGTGATGCTACTGTGGAAGGTTGAAGCTTCGTAAGCCCCGGAAGATTGGGGGTGGGGCGGCGACTGCAGGAAAGGGGTGTGGGGGGGAAGTAGCTTTTTCTTGACTTTTCACCCTATAGTCCAAAAAAAAAAAAAAAATCAGGGTTTTAACCACACATTCCTGAGAACCGTAAGCTTGGCTCAAGCCCAACATTTATAAATCCCCTGGAATATCCCCCTACCTCATGTTGTTGGAGGTGTGGGGGTCTTACAAAGAAGGAACAGAATCTAACTGCAGACGCAACTGTTCCTGGGATATTAATCCGTATCCCGTATCTTTATTATTATTATTTTCACTACTTTCCTTTGGCAGAATCAAGGGACCATGAAAAACACGACATGAACATTTTTAAACCCCCTGGGATGAGAAGCGCCAAATATTTTTTTCCCCAGAGCATGTTGCTTATGGGTTCTTGTTAAGGAAGGACCACAAGAACCATCATCCTGTGTTACAGAACCGGCATAGGACCTGTTCTAGTTTCTTGTTTCTGAAAAAAGTAATCAAAACACACACACACACACACACATACACACCACCAGTGCCTTAAAGACTTCTCGTCTAGTAGAGCAGGGGTGTCATCCCAGATTCCATGGGGTGAATCTGGCCCACAGGGTGCTTAGATCTGGCCTGCGGGGCCACCTTGAAATAGCCAAGGACCGGCCCCCAGTGCAGTGGTGGGATTCAATTTTTTTTTGGTTCTGTGGGCGTAGCTTAGTGGGCATGCTGTGGCTTGGTGGATGTGGCTTGGTGGGTGTGGCAGGGGAAGGATACTGCAAAATCCCCCTTCCCTCCCCACCCCACTAACCTGCTTTGCAGCTCTGTTCTCCTGTCCAGGGCAACCAAAGAAGACCCAGCCAATCAGCTGGGACTTCGGAGGCGGAGAAGAGATGGGGGTGGGGCCAGTCAGAGGCGGGATTTGCCAGTTCTCTGAACTACTCAAAATTTCCACTACCGATTCTCCAGAACTGGTCAGAACCTGCTGAACGCCACCTCTGCCTCAGTGCCTCTGTCAGTGAAAACGGAGGTCTGTTTTCGCTGGCAGAGAATTGCAGGAGGCCATCACAGCCAAAAACGGAGCTTGGGAACCTGTTTTCATTGGCAAAGCACTCAGGCTGCCACAGGAACCCCCAACACGAGTGACATCTATCTGGCCACGTCCACCCTATCCCCCCAAGGTCAAACACAACCCTGATGTGGCCCTCCATAAAATTGAGTTTGACACCCCTTTACTAGAGTTTCCAGATTTGCCAGCATGTAGTCCAGGTGCCTTGCATATGTGACCTCACATTTCACCTAGTGCTATAAATCAGAAGTCTTTGGGTGGAAGTGGTACTTGCATGAGAAAGTTGAATGTAAAACATTAATTTTAGTATGTTTTGCCACTCTTGCCCTATGTCTGGAGGGGTGTGCGTGTTATTTCCCAAGTGTCTTTATGATGCACTCATTTATACAGGACACTAATCAATAATAATAAGAGTCTTGCCTATGTACAGTTAAACTTTCAATTTTTATCTTTCTCTCCAGGGGTGTGTGCAGGATGGTCAAAATAGTCAAGATGGCCGGTGAGATGATATAGTCGAAGCTCCACCCATTTTTAAGTGTACTTAGCATGGCAGCCATGTTGACTTTTTTTTCCAGCCACAGCTTGCAAAAACCCCTCTATCTTATCTCCGGACCCTCCGTTGCCACACCAAGCTTCAGCCTTAGGATATATGACATTGGGAAATACTATTTTGCGTGTATTTTGGGGGGGCGGCATTTAATAGTTTTACTTCAGGGATTAATGGGTTTTTTTATATGATTATAGTTAGTTCAAATTATTCATTTCTGAGCTGCCATGATCCATATCTCCTGTTAGCTTTCCTAGGCTGGCATTTTTTCAGATATTTTAACCATTTGCCCTCCTCCTCTCCCTTTTAGATTATTGTTTCATAGCACTGCCTTTTATTTCATAGCACTGTCTTTTATTTCTGGAACTGCACTTAATTCTAGAGCAGAGTTGTGGAACCGTAGCCCCTTTATGACTTGAGCACTTCCAGAATTCCTGAGCCAGCATAGTTGGGAATTGAAATCCACAAGTCTTGTTTGTGTCTTATTTTCCTCAGCCCTGTTCTAGAGAACCAATGCCCCTTTTTTCTATATAGTGTCCACAAAATAATGAGAGAAAGAAGATTTTTTTTTTACTATTGGGGGTTGTTCTCCTGCACTTCAACTTGATTTGTACTTGATTACAAATGTGTAAATTAATCCAATTCTCAATTGTTTGGGGTTGTTTTTTTTTTCTTTCTGCCAGAGAGGAGGGGGAAGTGGAGATTTAACCTGATTCGAATGAAGGCAGATGTAATCGAGGTGTCCCCTCCTCCTGAATCGCAGTAAGATTCAAAAACAGAGAAACCGCACTTTGAAATTAGCACTTTCTAAAAGAAACTGGGCAAAAATGTCTATATTGCTGGAAATAAACAACAAAAAAAGACATTAACAAAAGACTATTTATCTTACAGTCATTTAAAGTGCATACACTTTTTTATGTTGATTTTAAACAAAAATGCACAAGGGTGCTACAAACGGGAATTTAAAATGAATATAAGACTGGAGGAATTGAGAAACTGATTGTCTGGGGATGTGTTTCTCCCTTCACAGATAAATTCAAGGAAGGTCATAAACAATCTGTCAATGCAGGGTAATAATTAACCCAGGTTTACTGAGAATCTGGATTTATTTATATTTGGCTTAGCATGTGTTGGGAACAAATTTTTGTATTTTACTGGCTGCTGTTAATTCTAATATTGCTATACAGGTAGTCCTTGACTTACAACCACAATTGGAATCAGAATTTCCATTGCTAACTAACCAAGGCAGCTTTAAGGGAGTTGCACCTGATTTTAGAACCCCTTTTGCCATGTTTGTAAAGCAAATCATTGCACTTATTAAGTGAATCATCTGATCTTTAAGGAAACCTAGTTTCCGCCATTTATTTTGCTTGTTGGTGGAAAGGCTTCCCTCCAGAAATTGTTGATGCTCCAACATTCGAAGTTTTAAAGAAGAGATTGGACAACCGTTTGTCTGAGATAGTATGGGGTTTCCTGCCTGAGAAGGGGGGGTTAGTCTAGAAGACCTCCAAGGTCCCTTCCAACTCTGTTATTCTGTTATTGTTGGAATCTGGTTGGGAAGGCCACAATTGGCAATTACATGATCCCCCTGGACTTTGCAACCATCGTAAATACATACTGGTTGTCCAGCACACGTGATCCATGGGGATCTGGTGACAGTTGTAAATGCAAGGACTGGTCACTAGTCACTCTTTTTCAGTGCCTCTGAGGCTTTGAATGGTCACTAAACAAATGGTTGCCAGCTGAGGACTACCGGTAAGGCACATTTGGTTATGTAAATGTAGAAGATTTCAAAATCTTCCTTTCAAATTCAGGACAGGTTTCCTGAAAATAAGAGAAGCAGTTTGCAAAGGAACAGGGAGTGATTAGAAAAAAAAATGTAATATTGAAATATGCTGGAAATTTGATATCAAAGTTAGCCATTTGCATTTCTCATATGTTGCCTCCAGAAGTTGTATATGTTCCAACACTGGAAGTTTTTAAGAAGAGATTGGATCAACCCTTTGTCTGAAATGGTATGGGGGTCCCTTCCAACTGTTTTTCTGTTAACTTCATAGAAATTCAACCAACTGAATGTACTTCATGATATCTGTTATCCAAAAAAAAACAAAAAACACGACCCACTTGCAGATGGAAAGTTCCTATTTGTTTGACTTTCTTATAGATCTGGACGAAGATCAAAACTACATTTGTCAACTGTTTGTTCTGTGTGTTTTCTGTGTTTTAGTGTTTCAATGTTCTGCGGATTTTTCTTTAAATGCCGTTTTTTTAGGTTGTTGAACAAGATTCTGAGCACGTTTGGGATAGAAAAATCTTTTTAATAATTAAATTTAAGCATTGACTACCATGACATGTTGTTGAGTCTAATTATTGAGCCAAGCTTGCTCTGTTACATACAGGCAGATATAAAAGTTCCCATCTGTGTTTTCTGTGAAAGAAGGAAAGAATGGTTTGTCTCGTGCCCTGCCCTGATAGCTAACAACGCATCATATAAAAGTGACATTTGCTTCCTCAATTTCTTCCGCACATTGATTGGTCATATATTTTACACGAATGACCTGGACTTGGTTTTCTTTTCAGCGAAGCTTAAACTTTTGTTAATTTTACGGAGCTCCTGTTGTCTTGCAATGATATGGAACCGTTCGTTTTTCTTTTGTTTCTTCCAACTTACCCTGTTCCTTTTCTCCATCCGATTTCTCCTGTCTTGGGTTTTCTCTCCACATTGCAGCTAGTGCTTGATTTACGTGACCATTTAGTGACCGTTCAAAGTTGCAACGGCACTGAAAAACTGACTAATGGTCATTTTTCACGCTTACCGCCCATTGCTGCGTTCCCATAGTCACATGACCAAAATTTAGACGCTTGGAAACTGGCATGTACTTGGGATTGTTGCAGTTTCCTGGGGTCATGTTTTTTGTGCCCTTCTGCGCCCTTCTGACAAGCAAAGTCAGGGGGAAGCCAGATTCACTTAACAACGGTGTTACTAATTTAATAACTGCGGTGATTCATTTAGCTGTGGCAAGAAATAAGCCCAAACTCACTTAGTTGTGTTGTTTAGCAGTGGAAATTTTAGGTTCAGTTGTGGTCATAAGTTTAGAACTACCCCTCTTTCCCACCTCTCATCAGTATAAAGTGTCCCTCAATCCCTAATCTTCTACTGTCCCCTTTTTTTTCCCTATGTGGAGAAACATATTTTTAATAATAGTGGTTGCATCCTTTGTAGTAGCAGAATATCTTTTTTTGTATATGGGATCCTAGTTGAATGGCACCAGGGGACATTCCCCAGGACCTTAATGAAAAAAGCAAAAATCACCCAGAGGGAATAAAAAACACGCAATGTCTTTTGCAAACTCCTTGACCCCATTTTGACACTTGGCCAGATCTTCAGAGGTATTAGATCAAAGAGAGACGTTTTGAAGCCCTTTAGAAATGGCAGCTTGGCTGGGAGTGAGGGATGCTGGGAAGGGTAGTTCAGCAATATCTGGAGATTGGCGGCTTTGGGGCTTCAGCTTCCTAGCAGAAAGAAGATGAATGTCTAATCCGTGCTCAGTGCAGGGTCCGCTAGCACAGTGTTTTTTGAAGTTGGAAACTTTTTAAAGATGTGTGGACTTCAACTCCCAGAATTCTCTAGTTGGTATCTGTGTACTGGATTCTGCAAGTTCAATTCCACGCATCTTGAAGTTGCCAACTTTGAAAAAAAACACATGGCACTAGTGTGAATTTATTATCAGCCATCCAGCAGCACATGACTTTGGGGGCTAACCGTGCATTAAACCGCGAAGAAAAAGAGAAAAAAAAAAGACAATTTAAGACAGCACAACGTGTTTTGAGCAATGAAAGAACGGCTCACTCGAAAGACAATGTACCAAGCAGCCTGGCTTAAAAAGGAGCTGAGGACCATTCAGCCAACCCACTCTCAACAAAAAAGGAAGATTAAGACACCACCTATCTTCAGTCTACATCAGGGGTCTCCAAACTTGGCCACTTTAAGACTTGTGGACTTCAACTCCCAGAATTCCTCAGCGAGCAAAACTCTCAAAGCAAAGCTGGCTGAGGAATTCTGGGAGTTGAAGTCCACAAATCTTAAAGTGGCCAAGGTTGGAGATCCCTGGTCTACAACACAGTCCCCTTTCAATAGTCCCAAGAAAGCTACACACCCATTTGCATTCTGATTCGGGTGACCCTGAAGGCACAGGTAAACCCCCAAGTGGCCTCAGTGACTCTCAGAGTATTAACAAACAGATGACTGCAAAGAAATACAATCCTTCCATTTCCCCCCCACCCCCAACCTTCCTGTTAGAACCTAACCTTCCATCCACTCAGTCAGAACTGATGAAGCTTCTTGGATGAGAAGCAAAATGTTTTCTTCCTCAAGGAAAAAACAGTCCAGCTGCTTTTTGAAAAAGCACCTCTGAGACAACCATGATTTGGATGACTGAGAATCTTCATAGAAACTCCCAGGGCGAAGAACTCAAGTAGCAATCAGTTCCACTGGCCAACAATCTGAATGGTCAAGACATTTCTCCTGTCTCCTTGTAATTTTAGTCCATTGGTTCTGGTCTCATTCTCTGGGTTAGCAGAAAATAAGTCCACTTCTTCAAATATTTGAAGACTATTCTTATATTTCTGCTACTTGCCATCTTTCCTGAAGACAAACCATGTCCACCTCTTTTAACCATTCCTTACCAGGCTTAAATCTCCAGAATTTATCAAAAATGTTAAACATGTTAGTTTACAATAGCCAAAATTCAGGAGTCTTCTTCCTAATAAAGTTTGTTGAAAAGCAGAAGCTTTTTAAAAACTAAAATGTGCTAGTCAGAAACGGCCTATAACAGTCCTTCCAAATTTGCTACCGTCGCCCCTTGCCAAATTTATTTGGCAAATCTTAATTCTGTTTGAGTGGATTTTGCCAACACCTGCACTTGTGGTTTTCTCAGTTGGTAGCAACCAAGCTAAGGGTTGTCATTTCTCCTTCGTATCTCTTTGTCCAGATCTGTTGCTGACGTGGTTTCCTTCACAGAGAACACAGGGGAAAAAAAGAGAGAGAGAGAGAGAGAGACGCCCTCAAAATCCTTAGGATGCAAAGTTGCAGAAAAATATTGCTAAAAACAGGTACACATACACAGATTGAAACCCATGGGTAGGGGTAGAGGGGCTGCTTTTATAGCGATGAAAAAAGGCTCAGAAGATGGAACGGAAGCATGGTATCCACAAGAAACCTTGGAAGGGCAACATTAGCTCAAAAGGCATTGCATTGCAAGTGGTCCTTGACTTAACAGCTGTAACTGAGCTTTAGAATTAATCGTAAGTCATTGTGGTTGTAAGTCGAGGCATCCCAGGACCTGACCTGATTGCATATTTTTTGCAGCCTTTAAGTGAATGCAGCACTTCTTAAGTGAGTCCATTTTCTCCAAGGATTGATTCTTGCTGGAAACAAGAAATAAGTGCCAGAAACTGGTCATTATTATTGTTTTTTGCAAATTATGTGACTGCCAGAAACGGCAAACAGCTGCAAAATAAAAGGCAGTTGCCAAGTGCCTAAAATGCAATCACATGACCTGGATTGGGTGTAACTTTAATTATTCCAAAAATAGATCGTTAAGTAACCCTGAGGAGAACTGTTGTAACTTCAAACTGTCAAACATACACACATTAATACTAGCATAAATTTTTTGAAAAGGCAAAGAGAAAGCAAAAAGTGCAAGAAAGGAAAAATGTTGAAGAAAAGTAGAAAATACAAGGTGACTTTGTAAATACAATTTTATTTTAACTCTCTGAAGTCACATCATAACTCTCTTCTTTCTGTAATCTATCCCAAAAGCTATAAATCACAAATTAATTTTTACCTTTATGCAAAAATTCCAAATGGCTTTCCGCTCACCAATAAATGTGGCCAATACCTTTTCTCTAATCAAAGAAGTCAATGTATTCTCCTCACTAACATTAAATGGATGCAAAAAACAGCTGAGTTTCGTTTTGGAAAATATGTGGATTGAAGCCATATCAAGAGGACGATCCTGAGAAATGTGGAAAAAAATGTGTATTTTTGCAATAGTTCGGGTTTGAAATTGAGAAGGTATTTTCAGGAAGACCCTTTTGCAATGTTACTGCGTTAATCACCTAATAAGGTAATCCTCAACTTCTGCCCCAAATTTCTGTTGTTAAGTGAGACATTTGTTAAGCGAGTTTTGTCCCATTTTACAACTTTTCTCATATTTGCTAAGTGAATCACTGGAGTTGTTAAATTACTAACACCGTTGTTAAATGAATCTGGCCTCCCCCATTAACTTTGCTTGTCAGAAGTTCGCAAAAGTTGATCACATGACCTTGGGACACTGTGACCGTCATAGATATGAACCAGTTGCCAAGCACCTGAATTTTGACCATATGATCAATGCTACAATGGTTGTGTGAAAAATTATCATAAATCACTTTTTTCAGTGCTATAACTTCAAATGGTCACCACAGGTAGTCCTCAGCTTACAGCAGTTCACTTGGTCACTGAAAAAAGTGAGTTATGACCATTTTTTACTCTTAGGATCATGGTCATATGATTTACATTTGGACACTTGACAACTGATTCACATTTATGACGGTTGCAGTGTCCCTGGGGTCACGTGATCCCCTTTTGCAACCTTCTGACAAGCAAAGCCGATGGGGAAGCCGGATTCGCTTAACAATTGTGTTGCTAATTTAACAACTGCAGTGATTCACTTAACAAATGTGACAAGAAAAGTTGTAAAATGGGCAAAACTCACTGAACAAATTTCTCACTTAGCGATAGAAATTCTAGGTTCAATTGTGGTCGTAAATTGAGAATTACCTGTAAATGAATGGTTTTAAGAAATATCTGTATGCTGGGCAGGTTTGGGATTTTAAAAAAAAGCTTTCCTGGATTGGCTTTCCACCATGCACAGGATGGCTTAGCAAGTCCATGCCAGAAGAAAAACAAGACAGAAAACAATGTTTGCTTCTGACCAACAGTAGCTCGCCACACCTGGCTTGTCAGGTAGCTCAGCTGGTCTTTCCAGCTACACTGGCCTGACCAGCAGAGCCCCTGAAAGAGAAAAGAAATTTGCTCTTGGGGCTCTTGAGTTGAGAGAAAGTATTTGCCTCTTCTGAATAACAGGTGGCCTGTTCACTCTCAAACTGGATTCAACTTTTTTACATTTGCACACACCATTTTTTAGGGGTTATCATGGTTTTTTTCTATCACCTTTCTGCCATTCAACTCCAAGGGCAAATGTACAGTTCTATCATAGAATGTAAAGTGGAAAGGGACTTTTGAGGTCATCGAGCCCAACCCCCTGCCCTGTACATGAATCCATTATCGCAACGTCCATGAGAAATGGCTGCCCAGCCTCTGTTCAATCATGAGGCTTTTTTTGTCATTGAATTTCCTGTTGTCCCAGATGTTTCCATGTCTTGTAGACTTCCATTCCCAGAATTCCGGAGCCAGCATGGCTGGCTCGGGAGTTCTGGGAGTTGAAGTCCACAAGTCACAAAAGGGGCATCATTCCTAACTCTTGTTTTAATGCATCATGTCTTGTCACCTTGGAATAAACCAGCTCTGTCTCTCGGAAGAATGCATCTGTGCTTTCAACTTTTTTTTTTGAACAACTATCCAGTGTAAGAGAATGACACTTTGTGCACGCTAGGGGCAATTGGATCAAAAATGATGAAGTGCAGAATGTAAATTCCAGAGATCAATTAGGACAGACAGGCATACTTCAAATTTTTTTCCTAGATTCCCTCCCACTCTGAGCAGGAAAGGAACAGCCTTAAAAGAAGCCAAATTGCAGCACAACATAGACTGGCAGCTATTCATTTAATGATCTAAGTTACAATGGCACTAAAATAAAAAGTGACTTTTCACCATTTTTTCACACTATTGCAGCAACCTCATGGTCATGCGATCAAATTTTCAGATGCTTGGCAACAGGTATATATTTAGGAAGGTTGCAGTGTCCTGTGTTCATGTGATCTCTTTTGAGATCTTCCTTTAAACAAAATCAATAGGGAAGTCAGGTTCACTTAACAACTGTCTGACCCACTTAACAACTGCAGTGATCCACTTAACAAATGAGGCAAGAATGAAGCAAAATTTACTGAATTTACTTAACTGATGGTTTAATAATGGCAATTTTGGGCTCTATTGTGGTCATAAGTAGGTAAAGACTTTCTAGGTAATACTGTAATTTACAGCTAGTCTTCAACTTAGGTCCACAAATGAGCCCAAAATTTATCTTGTGAAGTGAAATACTTTAAAGTGAATGTCCCACTTTATGACTTTTCTTGCCACATTTGTTAAGCGAACCACGGCAGTTGTTAAATTAGTAACATAGTTGTAAAGTGAATCTGGATTCTCCATTGACTTTGCTTGTCAGAAAGTGGTGAAATGATTCTTGAAGACGGCAACCGTCTTAAATACTCGTCAAGCATTTGGATGTAAATCACGTGACCATTGGGATTTCGCAATGGTCATAAGTGTGAAAAATGGTCATGTCACTATTTTCGAACGGTCGCTAAAGGAAACGTTGTTCAATCGAGGATGGCCCGCACTTCCATTTCTCAACGTTAATCCCACCCCATGCAGCGAAGGCGGGGTTAGAGCGTTATTGGCAGCGCCCTCAGTCAATAACCGAGTCAGACTCTTTTTTTTTTTTTTTTTTGTTCGCCAATCCCCGCCCAACCTCTGTACCCCCCCAAGGGGCGGGGCTTCGAGCCGCTCGGCGCAGGCGCCATCTTGTGAGTGGCGACGTTCTGGCCACTCTCTCTCTTTCTATCGGGGGGGGGTGAGTTCAGGAGGTGGGGCGTGTTTCCCACGTGAAAGGGGGAAAAAAAAAAGCACCGAGGAGAGGAGGCTGAGCTTTGGAGCGGGGGGAGGGGCGGCGCCGAGGTGGCGACACGCTCAAGATGGCGCCCGCGGAAGCCCCTCCCCTCCCCGGGGCGGCGTGCCGTGCGCGTGACGTCACCGCTCCTGGGCAAGGGCAGGTGGGAAGGCAGACCGGGCGAAGTTTGGCCCCTGCGAGGCGGTGGTGTGGCTGTGCCCGGCTGTGCCTGGCCCAGCTTCTTCTCTCGCCGTCCCAGCTCCGGAGCCCGAGGCTGCCATGGCTGCGGAGGACTCCGGCTCGCTGCCCTGGTCCATCGACAGGGATGACTACGAGCTGGAGGAGGTGATCGGTGAGTCGGGGCTAGGCCCGCTGGATGGGCAGAAGGGGGCGTGCGTGCCCGGTGCCCGCCGGTGCCAGGGAAGGCGATCCCCCGGCGGCGGCAAGGACGGCTTTGCGCAGCGGGGCTGGGATCGCCTGGGGTCCTAGGAGCGGCGGGTGGGGTGGGGGTGGGCGTCCTTCTGCCTATCCCTCTGCAGGCACCGGGTGCAAAAGAGGCGCAACCCCATGCAGCTCCCCCCCCCCGCTCCACGCCTGCTGCCCTCCCGGTAGAGGGGAGCGGGGATAGAGAAGAAAGGGAAGACCCTTCCCATTCTCCCAGGTCCGACGTTGCACGTCCGTGGTGGGAGTGGGCTACGGCTCTTGGCAGACTTGGGAGTCAAGGAAGGGGCCGGGGGTGGGGGCTGCAGTTGCCACCCGACCCTCGGTGGAGCACAAGGTGACCTCCCTGGTCTCCTGTGCTTTGCGGGGGGGGGGTTGCTTTTGGGACGGCAAGGAGGTACGGATTCCTCCTGGAGACGGGATGTTCGGTGTCCTGGTCTTTGGAATGGGATTGGGACTTTTAATCAATTCAAATAGGGACCTTGGAGGTCTTCTAGTCCAGCCCCCTCCTCAAGCAAGAGTCCCTATGCCATTTCAGACAAGCAGCTTGTCCAGTCTCTTCTTAAAAAAAACCCCAGTGTAGTGGAGAACCCCACAACTTCTTGAGGGGAAAAGCCCTTCCGTTGGTTACTCGTTCTCAAGGTTAGGAAGTTTCTCCTGTTCCCGGTTGCTTTTGTCCTTGCAGAGGGGGGGGGGGGGATGGGGATGTTAGCCTTGAGGGCAGGAGGGGCTGAAGTCGGTCTGGTGGGCTCCCGTGGGCAGTGGATGGGCTCCGTGGAGATTCTCTGTCATCCAGGCCATGGTTTTCCCAAAGGTGCTTTTCCCGAAGATAGAACTGAACTGAAGAAGCCTCTTGGATGAGAAGTGAAGCCTCTTCAAGGAAAAAGAAAGGAAGTCCACTTGCCTCTTGAAAAAAAAAGAGCACTTTTGGGACAGACATTGGACTAAATGGACCATCGGCCCAATCCAGCAGGGTACTGCTTATGTTGTTAATTCTTCCTTTTCCCCCTGTCTGAAGGCCATCTGCTGGGAGACGGCGGAGCTTCCTTTGGTTGGCCACCAGGGGTACAGGCTGCGAGCTTAGATGGGTCCCCGGTCCCATCCTTCCGGGCACAGCTTCTGTTCTGAAGTTTTAGGAGGGAGCAGGAGAAACCCTCGTCTTTGAAGTGAAGAAATGATCCACCGTCCTTGTAAATGCTGCTTTTAATCAGCCTCTTGCCCTTCCCTTTTAAGTGCTATGCAAGAATTAAAAAACTGCCTCCGAGAGGTTTGGCAAAGGATACGTTGCTTGTGTTTTGAGATATGTGTGTCTGGTCTTAAACTAAAAGGCACACCAACTCCAGCTCGTTCTTTTTATTTTAAGTGCACATAGCCTTTAATTCCATTCCTGAGGCAAGCACTGATAGTTACGATGATGAGTGTGTTGTGTTTCCTTGGGTGCTGGGGTTCCTATAAATTATGACCATTGATGTTAGCTTGAGTATTCATTAGGACTAAAGGAAGTGCCTTGCATTTCTAGAATAACTCAGCTTGAAGTTTCTCTCTCTCTCACCCCCTTCCCCAGTTAATACTTGGGGGATGAATTTTTTTTTTTGAATACTTGTGGTTTGAACACTTTGAGGCTCTAATTTTGCTTGCAGATTCATTGTCCTCAAACTTTTTCCAGCTACAATTTTAGAAATACTATGTATAAGAAAGAATTTGTACTTTTTAATGTTTTGGCTAGCGTGGACACTGGGCATTTTGGTTGTGGCTATATTTCAGTTCCCAGGAATGTCTTGAAGATCATGAAGAAATGACATGGAAGATATGGCAGCCTTAGAGAGGTTTGTTTCCAACTCTTCAGGGACTGTAGGAAAGTGGGTGCTTGTTCATCCTTCTTAAGAGGAAACTGAGGCTCCTAAAATTACTTCAGATATTTGGGTTGTTCATCATGCTAATCTGTTTTATAGCCCATTTTTCTTGGCTTAGTATGTTCAAACTCATCTTGTTTTGGTTCATTCAAGAAGGAAGTTGAATAAGCCCATCTGGATGGATCCTTTGCAACTGATGTTGCTATTTGAACATTAGTTTGTTAATAGATTATGATAAAATTCACGTTTTAATTTTAAATTAGTGCTTTTCAATTTTGGCAACATGAAGATGTATGGACGTCAACTCCCAGAATTTCCCAGCCAGGAGGATTCTGGGAGTTAAAATCCACACATTTTCAACTTGCCAAGTGTGAGAAATATTACATATCTTACCTGAAACCTTAATTTATAATAAAGTATGATTGTACATCATACTGAGCCGAAATCAAACCAACTTGTCAGGGCATTGTCTAAATTCTGGCCTTTCCCATTGTGGTTGCTATGTTCTGCTCCTGCAATCAAATCTAAGAATCTAAGATAGGAATTTGCTAGTTTCTTATACCCTTCATTACATGCCTGCTATCCTTAGTTTAGCGTAGCATGTGAACTTGCCCATTGTAGGTTAGTACGATTTGTGAATCAGACCATTATGATTTGATCTACAGATCAACACTATGGGAATTAAATAATTTGTTACTATTCACAATTTCTCAGTGTTTATGAAAACTCTTATCTGTACCTTTACTGAGGCTTGGTCTTGCCACCAAAGCAAATGGATCCGTTATGGGTCGAACTTTGCTACTTTCAGCAAGGGAGCCATTGCCCTTTCTGAACCACATCTAATCTGTTTCTTAAGTTGAATTTTGTCTAGGATGAATGCAAAGCCTGTGTTCTTTGTTCCCCACCTTCGGAGAACGCAAACACTGTGACTTTTTGATGGATCTGAGAGGGAAAAAGTATAAGAAAAATTCAACACAGGAACGCTGTTTATAAGCTTTGCATTCTTGTGCTTCTATGCTTTATCTAGCTGGGCAATCTACTGATATAACTTGGTTTAACAAGTATAAACCCACCATGATGGTTTATCCAGCAAGCCTTGGATTAACCTGATTTGAGAACACAAGCATATCTTGGTACTATCGGGCTAAGCCTGGATTAGATTTCTACATCACTGCATATCAAGGAACCTATGTGTCTGTCATTCGGTGACACCTGCATAGGTATTCCTTTAATACTTCCTCAAAGATGTAGGTAGTTATCAACTTACAACAGCCGGTCGTTTAGTGATGGTTCAAAGTTAGAGTGCCACTAAAAAATGTGACTTATGGCTGTTTTTCACAGTTACCAGCATTTGCAGCATTTGATTATGAGGCTTGGCAAATGTCTCACTTTTATGACAGTTGCAGTGTGATCCCCTTTTGTGACTTTCTGACAAGCAAAGTCAATGGGGAAGCCAGATTCACTTAACCCTGTCACTAACTTATCAACTGCAGTGATTCACGTAATAACTGTGGCAAGAAAGGTCATGAAATGGGGCAAACGACACTTAACAAATGTCTCACTTAACAACAGAAATTTTGGGCTCAGTAGGATGTGAACTTCTGCACAAGGCGCAGTTGCGATTTGGAAGGGGTGTGTGTCGGCCTTCCTGCAAACTGTCTGCAACCTACACTTTTCCATCCACCCCTTCGCAGTTTAGGTATGTGGTGATGATACCCATGCGTCGTTGTAGGCAAATCTAAATCAAGATTTTGGGTAGATCTGTCTTTTAAGAGATCCACTGGGACCATCGAGACTTGACAAAATCCCATACATTTTGCGGATAAACTTACTCAGCATGATTATGCCTGACTAGGAAAAAAAACTGGGTATCAGTTCTCATTCTCCTGACTGACTGACAGTATAAGTGCTGCCTGAAAAGCTTCCGTTTCTTCTGTTGGAGGTGATCTTCCTCATGAATTTGGACAATACAGGTAGTCCTTAACTTACAACAGTTCATTTAGTGACAGAAGTAATAACAGCACTGAAAAAAGTGACTTAGGACCGTTTTTCCACACTTACGACCGTTGTAGCATCCCCACGGTCACGAGATTAAAATTCAGGCTCTTGGCAACTGATTTGTATTTATGATGCTTGCAGAGTCTCGGGGTGATAGCGACCTTCTGACAAGCGAAGTCAATGGGGAAGCCAGATTCAAGTAATCGCTGCGTTACTACATTTAACATCTGCAGCGATTCTTTTTGTGGCAAGGAAGGTTGTAAAATGGAGCAAAATTCATTTCGCAACTGTCTCACTTATCAGCATAAATTTTAGGCTCCATTGTGGCCACAGACTCTGTGTACCAGGGAAGAGTAGCTACAACCAGTCTAGGGGGCTGGTGGACACTGGAAAGACGAAATCCATGAAATTAAGTTACCACAATTGAAGTCTACTGCATGATGTGACACATTTTTTTTTCATTGAGGAACGCACATAGGTCAACTTTCAAAGGTTGCCTCATTTTCCTCTCTTGGCTTCTTCCACACTCCGCTTTTATAGGTCTTGACCCTTCTGTAGAAAGAGAATGGTGGTGTTGGGGGAAATCAGTGCTGGGGGAAGAGAATGATTTAATCCTGGCATTTAGAGTCTTTGAGTTTCTCCAGATCGTTATTTCATTACTGTGGCAACTTGAAAATGTGCGGACTTTAGCTCCCAGAAATCCCCAGCCATCCTCGACTCCCAAAGAATTCTGGGTATTGAAGTCCATGCGTTTTCTTAAAGAGGAGCAGCCTTGCTCCAGGTATACTAGCCATTTCCCAGAATTCTCAGCAATAGCCAGTCTGGCAAGGAATCCTGGGAATTCAAGCTCATATGCCTGGACGACAGCATGGTTGAAGAAGATTAAAAAGAAAAATTGACTACATGTAGTCCTTGACTTACAACGTTCATTTGGTGATTATAGCTACAGCAGCACTGAAAAAAATGACTTACAACCATTTTTCACACTTGAGACCATTGCAGCATCCCCAGGATCACATGATCAAATTCGGATATTTGGTAATCGATATTTATGTCCCTT